TATGGGAAGGGAATGCTGCAAAGTTTGATAACTGAACACAGTTTTGTTTTTTTTTCATTGAAGATTTTTATTGAATGAAAGAAAAAGTAAAATGACATACAAAAGGGTCATACACATCAAGTCATCCAAGCGGAGTTGGTCATAGATGTACAGTAAAGGACCACGATGTTGGAAAGTCCCGCATAGTACATCAAAACATCACGTGTGAGAGGTGCATATTCATTTTACAACGGAATGGCTATACAAACTGGATGGTCCTTTAGTTCGGTATCTCGAACTCAATAGGCTAAGAGCTTGGTATGAGGTATCACCATCAAATAAACAAAGACAAATAGTAAGGCTACACAAAATAGATGAGAATCACGTAAAAATAGAGGCAGTGAATACTAGTATTAGAAAGCATAAAGTCCTATGTGGTATTACCACCGGGGACTCCATAACTGAACACAGTTGACCAAAGTTTGGGAAACCTTGGAATAGTAATTATGTATTCTGGGCAAAGGCTGCATGGTCTGTCAGTACATTATTATTATTATTACATAGTATTTATATAGCGCAAACAGTTTGCGCAGCGCTTTACAATATAAGGAAGACATAACAGTTACAATACAATTCAAGACAAGATGGTAAGGAGGAATAGGCACCATAAGCATAGTGCGGATTGTGTCAGCTAACTAATATTATACAGGTTGTATTTTATCACTTTTTTATTTAACGCCTTCACAACCCAAGACGGGATAATCCCGTCATGAAGTCTGAAGGGGAAAAACAGATGACTGTTCAGTCTTGTAGAGCCGGCGGCCGGCTTTACAGGAGAAGTGATTTTGACGGTTCAGCTGCCGCCACCCGACACCACCGCCCTGTTTCCTGGGCTCCGCTGCCCCTCCTATGGGCCCAGGACCAGCTTGCCGGGTGTCATTGGGAAGCTGGGGAGGAGAGCGGTGAACCTCTGTTCACCGATCCCCCTCCCCCTACTATGGGACGGTGAGCGATGCAGATTATATCACTTCCAGCCCCATAGCTGTCATTGCTGGGCTCCTGATGCCCAGCAATAAGCTATTGAAGTGCGATCTGCACTTCAATAGATTATTTAAAGTGGAAAGGTGACACTAGGGGTCTTTTGGACCCCCAGTATCACCTTAAAGAGGACCTGTCACCACCATCTGATATCACATGGGGGGCTTGTAAGAGAAACAAATTGATGTAAAATATGTATGCATCATGCATGTGTTGTATTCTGGTAATAAAATACCCAGATGATGATGATACAGTGATCAGTAGGAGTTAGATGTATTGGGGGCAGATTTAGTAAAAGTAAATAGGTTGTCCACTTCCAGGGGAATTTTCCCTTAGTTTAGTGAATGAGATAAGGCTCTGCTGACTTCCATCAACCAATCATGTACAGGTAGAAGTACTGTTTTCTTTTATTTGCACGTTATTGGGTATTCTTTGCAAAAGGAGATTTCACCACATTTACCAAACTAAGGAAAATTCCCTCACAAAAGGAAGCAGCCTCTATGCCTTTAGTAAATCAACCCCATAGAATCCCATTTACAACTGTGCAGTAAATGTTCACAGTGCTTTTGTGATCTTTTGTGAAAACGGGTAGATCTGGTAAAAATGAGTATATCCTTGGTCTGAATCATTAGGAAACCTCCTTACCTCACTTTATTCAATTTAAAAAAATGTTTTAAATGCAGTAGTGGTTTAGGTGCTGTTATAGAGTATTCTGATTACACAACTTCAATACTCCTACTGTGTCATATCAGCCTGATTACTAAATCCTTCAAGCTTATTGTTGGGTTAAAAAACTCCCCTTGCAGCAGGGCCACTCCGGCACTGCAAGGGTTAAAGGGTTTCTAAACCCTCCGTTTTTGTTTTTTTTTGCATATATCTACTGCTAGCAAGCAATAGATATATGCAAAACATTGAAAAAAAAATCCCTGTCTTCGCTGCGCGCTCCCGTCCGATAATTCGAAACTGCTCGAGCGGGCGCATGCGCAGTTCACATTTTCGTCTGGAAGACGAGGAGAGACACAAGGTAAGTCTATGGACGCGTGCACCCGCATGCAGACACCGTGGGACAGGAAGTGCCAGCAAGGACAGAGGAGTCAGTGCTGGATCGGAAACGCGCAGCAGCGCTGGAGAGAAGGCTGAAAATGACAGGAAAGAAGAGGAAGATCGGATTAAGAGACATCATTTAAGGTAAGTGCTATCATTAACATGATAAGGGAAAAAATTTGTTGACTTTAATGTCACTTTAACTGCCCATTTGTGTCAGGTCAAGCAGTTTTACTTACCTACTTAGAGGTGATGATGTCAGCGGGCCTCTGACTGATAGAGTGCAGGCAGGGCCAGATTTCAGGGACGTGCGGTCAGGGGAGGCAGAGCCTCACCTAGTATTATGGAGGAAAAAGCTGTCAGCTTCAAGTGGTTCAAGCTTCAGCTCCTCCCTGTCTCCTCCCTTCCTCCTGCACACTAGCGTGGGGACCAGGTTGGGGGCTTCGGTCGGCGGGGTGGAACTTCAGCCGACGGTGGGTGGGACGTGCTGGGGGCGAGGCTGGGGAATGCCTCACCCGGAACCAGGGGTACCACACGTCACTGCCAGATTTACTCTCTCTGCTGCCCCAAGGCCAGGTTCCTTTATGCTCTCCCCCTCTTGCAGAGCAGAGGCTTTGGGATACAGTAAGTAAAAGTCCTTTAACTGCAACAAACTGTTTGAGATTAACTCCATTACAAAGACTAGAGGCCACCACCTAAAGTTGGTGGAGAAAAAATTCCAGCACAATGGGCGAAGAGGGTTCTTTACAGTAAGAGCGGTTAGGGTCTGGAACTCACTGCCATCTGCAGTGATTTCAGGCAAGAGTGTAGATTTGTTCAAGAAACGTTTGGACAATTTCTTGAGGGACCGTAATAACCAGGGATACCAGTATTCCTAAGAATGAGATGATGAGTGGAACTATATGGGTTGGACTTGATGGACGTATGTCTTTATTCAACCCCAAATACTATGTAACTATGTAACCCGGTCCCCTAGGCATAACCATAACACGCATGATACCAGTATTCCTAAGAATGAGATGATGCGTGGACCTATATGGGTTGGACTTGATGGACGTATGTCTTTATTCAACCCCAAATACTATGTAACTATGTAACCCGGTCCCCTAGGCATAACCATAACACGCAGTTAGCCCTTCCTGTGCAGGGATTAGCCCCTCTACAAGGGGCACATAAAATCTTAACCCGTGCAGTGGAGCTACCCCCACATTGCAAGGGTTAAAGTGGCACTAAAAATGCATTCAAGTACCTAAACTATTAACAAAAATGTACCCTGAGTATGTTGTAAAGTAGCCACCGCTCCAAGGTCACTCCTGTGATGGACTACAATCTCACATTTAGGGGTCTATTCACGAAGCAGCTGAAGGAGCTAGCCGTAGCTTCGGCCGATCCTTCTGCTAGCTTCGGCCCCAGGACCCCTTCGGTTTCCCGGGAGAGTTTTTTTTTTACGGCAGCAGAACCGCCGGCCAAAAGAAAACGATTGGGCTGAGCTACCTGTCACTGCTAGCTCCGCACAATCGTTTTCTATTTTTTTTTTTTTTTACTTTTTAAACTATTTTTCTGTTCTGCTCGGTCCCTCTGAGGGACCGAGCAGAACAGCCGAGCCGAATGCTGCTCAGCGGCATTCGGCTATTCACTCACTGCTGTTCGGCATCTATAAGAATAGGCCGAACAGCAGTGAGTAGCCTGCGGGAGGTTCGGCTTAGCCGATCCAGATGTTGGATCGGATGAGTCGAACTCCTCCTGCACTTCGGGTAGGCCGAACATGCTGAGCATGTTGGCCGACCCGAAGCCACGTGAAGCCACCCGATGTTTGGATGTACAAGCCTTAAGTCAATAGCCGAACAGCTTCACTTCAGGTCGTTCTTTCACTCGGCTGCCTACGGCAGCTTAATGAATAGACCCCTTAGTTTACTAATTTGTATTGAGATTGTAGTCCATCACAGGAGTGAGCTTGGAGTGGTGGCTACTTTACAACACACACAGGTATCATGGGGAACAAAAGTAGCCACCCTCCAGAAGGAAGGACAGTGTCGGCACCAATTCAGAGATGATTTGACGATCTACAGCTGAGTGATACACAAGTACAGAGTTTTGGTAATAGTAAGGGTACTTGAACACGTTTTTAAGATTTAACTCCTGAGTTTAGTGTCGTTTGTCTTGTCTAGGGAGCTAAAATAACAGAGCTATACTCACCCGAAGCGCGATCCCTACTGGTTCCTAGACCACTCCCTTCAGCCTCACTCCTCTGCTCCAGTGATGGAATGTCCGTTGGCATCCTGACATCCAATGCACTTGTATTAGAATGGATGACTTATGGGACCTTAGACCGCTGGAGTGGGGGGGAGGGAGGCTGGAGGGACTGGTCTAGGAACCAGTGGGGATTGCGGTTCGGGTGAGTATGTCTCTGTTATTTTAGCTCCCTAGACAAAGCGAGCACTTGACCCTTTCACTACGGGGTAGTCCCACTGCAAGGTTTAAGATGTGATTTTCCTGGAGTTCTTCTTTAACTCACTGTAATAAACTCATACTAGTAATCATTCTGGGGGGTTGTCCGAGCTCCTATAGATGTTGTCAGGGTTTGGCACCTTCAGGTGTGTCCTGTCCTGTGTCCAGCAGTGTACAGAGTAATGTGCAGGCAGCACTGTGAGCTGTAGGTACATATTACTGATGTGGATAGCATGTTCCTAGGTGTGATTATGTGATGGGGTGCAGTGTGTGTGACTGTGGAGTGTATTTTTAGCCGTGTCGGATCCTTCAAACTGGTTGTGTAGGGAGGGCAGTGCCTTCCTCCCAGCCCTCCCTTTCTCGTCATCAGTGTGCAGGGAATAAACGATCCATATCTTACCGCGGGGATGTGAAGGGCGTTTTCCTCCAGTGATCATTAGAGGATGAGGGTCGTACGATCATCGTCCTGTGACAGTACATGTCCAGTGATATGTGAATGGTGGCACAGCAGCGCTCTCTAATGAGCTGACCCGTCTTCATGTGGTGCTGAAATCTACACGGCGAGTTATCCGTACAGAGGTAATCAAGCTTAGCTATAATCATCTGCTAGTATAAGTTAACCCATGGCTGCCTCTAGCTATGTTATCAATGAAAGTGAAGATGATCGGAGCCGCATTGCAGATGTCAACTATGTTCCCGGACTGGTACTGTGCCTGCGTGTGTACACTTTGATCCTACATGACTCTGTCTTGTGTCTCTGCACAACTTCTCCACCACTGACGGATCATTGTCTTTGTTAATGATTACTGTCACAGCCTTCAGGCTTTTCCTTTTGTTTAGGTGTTTTATAGAGCATGCCGTCGGAAAAGGCAGCTCAGCTGGAGAAACTAGGTCAGCTTTTGTAGCTTCAAGAACTTGATATGTATTTAGGGTTTAGAATGAAACAAGTTACTCACGGAAAATACAAAGGGAGCCGAGCCCATTTGTTCATATGACCTAGACTGAGCTCCAGGGGGGAGTAGCCTGGGGTCCACCTGCTACCTTTTTGTTCTACAGATTGTGTTGATAAAAGACAACCATATAGCTCATGCCACGTGGCTTTCATTTGATTTCTCCTGTAGAGATTGCTGCAACTTGTTTTCTAAAATAAGATCAAAGCATCCTGTTATTTTTGGTCAAATTCTGAAAAGTTCTCAATGTCAAACAGCTGTAGCTACAGTGAAAATCGCAGGACAGTCCCTGGCTTTGTGTCATAATGTGTTTGCATTGATAATTATCTTGAACAAACAAAATATCTTCTGTTCTCGGGTCATTCATTAAGGAAAACTGCGCTTGGTACATACACATGTTTGCACTGCATTACTGAATAAACCCAGTACTGTATTCATATGCTGTAGTTTTTTAACTGATATAAATATGGGTTTGTATAACAGTGCAAGCATGCTTATATTTTACTTCAATCTGCCACTTTGCCAAAAGTTGTCCTTCTTTTGTTTCTGTATGGGTGCTACCATTTCTGTGTGGACGGCACTGCTGTATGTGATCAGCTGGAGAGCTTTATTTTATTGGTCAGATAGAACAGCAGACATGGGACAGACAAATGTAATAGGACCTAAAGCAGGGGGTGTCTAGGGAGAGAACCGGAAGAATTATGTCAGCTGTCACTGTACTATTGTTCTGCAGTTAGAATTTTGCTCAGACACACCCATAAGACACAGGCATTTGGTAATCGCTTCCCTTGCCTTTCACTTTGTGCTTGCATATTACAATCCAACTTTCTTATAATTTATTCATTTACATGCAAACATGTTTTTATTTTGTTGTTTTAGTAGGACAATTGGTGCATTTAATTGTAATAGCTATTAACAAAATGACAAATGCTTGTGTCAGGAGACAAACGGGTTACTTCAAACTGTGAGAATGATGCCACAGACAAGTACACGGATTTACAGTAAGAGTCTGCAATGTTAGATTGATATTTCATTTTGCTTTGAATGCGTGCTATGGCAAATACAGATATTTGGGGTTTAGAAACGTAGATTTAATAATCATAATGGAATTCCTCGAGATAACTGTTGGATTGTGCCACTGGTTTGTGTATGCTTTTATATAGTGTTTGAAATTGTAGAACCATTTCTATATTTTAAGTAATATATCCAATGCAAAAAGCACCAAACACTATGATAAAAAATAACATTGGTGATGGTAAAATCCCAGGATACAAGCACAGGGGGCAGATCGAAATTAGAAGCAGCTTTGTGTATACAGTCAAAGTTCAAGATGAGTATGTTACAGATGTTAAATAGTATATTGTGTTTTTGTTCTGAACCAGTATGGATATAAGTGCACTGTGAAGTTTGACCCAGAGGTTACCTAGATGTGTTTTTTTACATTATGTATGCTATATATTATGTGTTTGTATAAACTATTTTTATATTATGTTGTCCACCCCTGCTGTAGCCTGGTTCCGGAGATGGGTGATGTCATTGAGCAGTTGCAATTTCCCCACTTCAAAATGATCATTACAATTGGCTAATCTTGGTGATCTCATGATTGGGAATGATAAATGATGGTTCCTGATTTCATGTACAGTACCCACAGCTGCCAGTAGTTGCCTCATGCTGCAATTGAGACCTCCTAATGGAGCACTTAATGGCCATCTCCGGGTAAACCAGAAATATACCCCTGCAGTGGGGCTACCCCTGCACTGCAAGGGTTAAAGTGGACCTTTACCCCCTTTGGCTAAAAATCACATCAGCATTTAGATATTCATGCTGATGAAAACAAATCATATTACATTCATTAGTTAAACATATTTCTATTTTACTTTATTTTACAATTTCTTACTTCTACTTCCTGGTCCACTTGGGCACAAATTATTATAGGAAGGTTACATCAGCAGTGCATTGCTGATACAGCCCTGCATGCTGATATGAAATCATCTTACATTCATTAGTTAGACAAACATTATTTTACTTACAGTTACAGTTTTTCTACTTCCTGGTCCTCTTTGGCACAAATGGTGTAATGTGCCAAAGCATTGCATCCTGGGAAGGTTACATCAACAGAGCATTGCTGGGAAATCTCATCTGTAATCTCACAAGATCTCAGGGAAAGGCATTTTCCTCCCCTTAGATGATGTGCACGGTCACATGTCCTAGAGCCATGTGCCAGAGTTCCAGGAAGTAAAGGGGAGATGGATTCATCTGCTCTTAGTAAAAATGGTCACTGTAAGAAGAATGGGGAGGAAAAGAAAAATAAGGTATGCAAAGAATACAAAACCTGCAATTATCTAGAACAGGGCTCAAAAATGCAGGTCCTGAGATACTAGCCAGGCCTTAAAGGAGAACTATGAGGCGATTGATAATCACTCAGCCTCATAGTTCTAGCCAACCTGTGACAATGAAACTGTCACAGGTCGGCTCAGTAGATCGGGAAGTGAGCGAACACATACCGTCGCTTGCTCACTTCTCGATCCTGTCCCTGCAGAGAGCCATGACTGTCACTCACGGGTCCCTGCAGAGATTGCCCCCCTCCCCTGTCCGATCCTCCAGCGCTGACTGGCGGAATGGGAGGGGGCAGGCACAGCTGGGTGGATCTTGACAGTAATGTCGGGATCCGTCTCGGCTGCGGCGTCTCAGTATACCGCGAGTCGTAGCTCGCGGTATACTGAGCTTAGGGTGATGGGAGGACGCTAGTTTGTGTTCTCCCATGACCCTTAGGAGAACTATGGGGAAAAGCCCTGACCACATAGTTCTCCTTTAAGAGTTACTCACTACTAGTTGCCCCACCTAACCCCTACCCTGCCCCGGCCTTAACTCCACCCCTAAACACATCCTCTTAAATTATCTTATGATAGTTGCTTGTAAATGGCAGATTGGGGATTCCTGCTGCAGGAAAACGCAAGTTCCTAAAACAGGAATCCCTAATCGTACCTAAAATAATGGTGTGAATGGTGTCTAATATATACATACACTAAGGCCTTGTTCACACCAAATGCAGACCAGATCCGGCCAGGTTTCTGCACACGCAGTGCAGTGGGTTGTGCCGCGTTTTTGACGCGTTTAGGGCCGGTTGTGGTAAAAAAAAAATTAAGTTTAACATGGGCTTTCAGGCACTTGCATGCATTTTAGATGTGTTTTTGCGTTTTAGATGCGTTTTTGATGCGTTCCAGAGCAGATCCAGAGCAGGTAAAATAGGGCTTGCCGCAGTTTTTCCACCTGCTCTGGATCTGGTCTGGATCCGCACGCTGCGATGTGAACTGGAGGTCAAAATACCATAGGAATACATTGGACGCAGTTTTGATCCGCTCTGCACCTGCTCTGGTCTGGATCTGCTCCGCGCTTGGTGTGAACAAGGCCTAATACACTTCCCAACGTTACCCACTCAACCAACCACACATAAAAAAAATACACTCCCCCTGTCCCAAGTCCCCCTGCACACACAAAATAATACACTACCCCCATCCTAAGCCCCCCCGCACACAGAAAATAATCCCCTCCCTTCCCTCCCCAGTCACATAAAATAATACACTTCCCCTTCTAAGCCCCCCCACACATAAAA